TTGCATTGAGGGAGTACTTGAGTGGAGGCCCAATGTCCATCTGCTACCTTAATACTAAACCTATAAATATATGCACATAGATATATTTCCACATCCTCACATATAAATATATTTACAGATGTACATGCCTTTATTTAGACCTCTATATATGCCATTTGCCTCCCAGCTCTTTCCTCTTATTTCCCTTGACTTTCCTCCTATCCCACTATCATGCTCAGTCCCCACCAGGGTTTCAGCAGTTCCTCTTTGTTACATTTCCCTTGATCATCCCTACCAGGCAACCCCTAAATTCTATGTTATAGCAATTACAGCACACTGAAGCCTCCCCTTATAATTGCTGAGTAAACAGACTTAAACACAGCTTGCCACATTTCTTGCAAAAACAACCTGAAGCCAAATAGTAGCTCTTAGCATGGTAATAGCTGCTAAATGTGACTTTAAAAAGTATTTAAAATTTGAATATGTTGCTTTTAGCCCTTGTAACAGCCTTTTCAAATGTAATTCAATTAAAACACAAGCTCTCAATGTATAGTGGATTTCACAGGTTGCATCTGGTTGCAAGTAACAGAAAATCCAATTGGAAGCAGCTTATACACGGAAGGAAACTTAGCGGTTCCCTTCACTGCCACAGGCAGTGTAGTGTGTTCCAAGGTTGGCTTCCTTCAATCCTAGGATACTGATACCTAGCTAAATCCGCAACCACAGCCATTGAGTTGATTCTGACTCTTAGCAACCCTGTAGCATTGCCCCTCTGAGTTTCTAAGACTGTAAATTTTTATGGGAGCAGACAGCCTCATCTTTCTCCCAGGGAGTGGTTGGTAAATTTGAACCGCCAGCCTTGTGGTTAGTAGACCAACCCTTTTCCCATTATATGAAAGGGTACTCCCCCCAAAAGACGGATTTTTTTCCCAAAACTATTTTTTAAATGTTTTACTAAAACAACCTTACCACTTTCAAATTACTCCCCATTACACTTAATGCATTTGTCAAATCTGCTGTTCCATCCTTGAAAACCTTTTTTCAAACTCATGTTTGGATGACTGACAGCACCTCCCTCGTGGTTTTTCTTCACCTCTTCTACGTCATCAAATCACTGTCCTTTCATGTCCCTCTGCATTCATGGAAACAAAAAGAATTACCACAGAGCGAGGTCGTGTGTGGGGCAAGAGAGGCATGCTGTTTTTTGCCAAAAGCTGGTGCATTGTTGTGGCAAAACTAGTCCTTTTTTTTTTTTTTCCCCACACTGTTACGTAATCTTTTCAGAACTGCTAAATCGAAAGCTTGATTAACAGTCTGAGCTGGTGGAATGAACTCCAAATACACTACAAGTTGACATTTTCCTGTTTGGGAAGTTCACTGACATCCAGAACAAGGTCTGTTATCAATTGACATTTCACCTTTTTTGAAATGAGAAAACCACTCGTATACTTGAATTTTCCCCATAGCACTGTCCTTGTAAGCTGTGTTCAACATCACAGTTTCTGCAGCTTTTCACAGCCACATGCTGTTCTCTTCAATTGGCCATCACAAATGTGGTTTGAGCAAAACTGCTTTTACGAAAAATTTCACTGTGACCAGCGATAACCTTCCCAGGTGATGCCACTGGGTGCACTAATTCAATGCTCACCCAGCAGGAAAAATGCTTACTACAAAAGCTCTGCCCAGCAGAGCTTTTTGCTACTTTGGCAGTAGTACCCCCTCATACTGCCGGGGCTCTTAGTTGAGGGTTAAGCCTGTGTTAGGCTCAATGCATGTGTTCGTCTGGGTAGACTAGAGAAATAAATTCATGGGCACTCATGGGTATAAGAAATAGGTTTATATACGAGAGCAGTTGAATATTGAGAAAATGTCCCAGCCAAGTCCAGATCAAGTCCGTAAGTCCGATATTAGCCCTTATGTCCGATACCAATCTATATAAAGTCCTTTTCAGACTAACAAAACACATGCAATGACACTGAATGCAGTATGATCACAAACACATGCAATGGTGCTAAATGCAGGAAGGTCACAGGCCAGTGGGTAGAAAGTCTTTGGATTCAGTGGGGTTGTAAGCCTCTCAGCGCTTGTAGGGGGCTCCAGTGGCTTCCCCAGGTCCCAGGGCATGGTCTATGTAGTGTCATGTGTCTTGTCAGTAGATGGTCTCAGGGAGTGAGCTGAGGGAGAGTTTGTCAGCTAGGATGTCTCACAGGGAGAGCAGAGAGAGAGAGAGGTGTCAACTACCTCCAAGGAGGAAAACCAGGAATTATCAGAATTATCAGGAGAAGGCCATGCCCCCACAGAGACCTCATTGGCTATGACCCAATTGTCAGACTAGACTCCTCCCCTTCACTCAATCCTATCAAGTCCCAAATTGACACTAAATCATGTAACTACCACAATGCATGACAGGAATAGTAGCTGTTATTAGGTTATCATTACTCAACAGCCACTAACCAGTTCTCTGTGGTAATACATGTGATTTGGCATAGAAACATAAAGAGTTTAAATGGAACAGCAGGGTAGCCAACCTTGCGGTCCTGACCGATGGGGGCTGCTGGGACACTGAAAGTCATTGTTCTTTTCTGACGAAGCAAGAGCTAATCTCCACAGCAACTTGTTACTCTGCCGCCATGGGGCTGGAAGGGAAGATGGGGTGAGTAATAACATGTAATAACAATTACCATGGCCTTCCTGTGTGTCTTGCACTGCGCTAAGCCTTTTTTATACATCTCATTCAGTCCTCCCAACAACTATACGGTTAGACATTAGTATCTCCATTCTGTAGGGAATGTAGCTGATATGCACTTAGAGATCCTAAAGAACTCCCCCTGAGTCAGAAAGGGGAAGTGTTAGAGCTGGGTTAAAGTGGACAACCTAAATACAATAGACCCCCTCTCTCTTTACCTTCCTCTCTCCAAAAGAGATGATTGGAAATCCTTATTGCTGGAATTCCTGTCCCCCACCCCCCGAAAAGCACAAAAGCAAAGTGGATTCTGACTCATGGCAACCCTATAGAACTGTGCTCCATATGGGTTTCAGTGGGGGATATTTTGAGAAGTAGAAGCCATGGTAGCATAGTGGTTATGCGTTGGGCTGCCAACCACAAGGTTAGCAGTTCAAAACCACCAGCAAGAGAAAGATGAGGTACTCTACTGTAGACTTCATCTCTGAAACCCACAGGGGCAGTTCCACTCTGCCCAGTAGACTCACTTTGATGGAAATGGACTTGGTGGCAGTGAGTGTGACGTTTAGACTGGCAGACATTTCTTATGAGGCACCTTCGTCTAAACTCAGCACGGCCCATCTTTTGGTGTTGCTTGGGTACAATACCCCCCAAGGGCACCGCAGGGAGACAATCTCTTCTTACCTCTTGTTTTGGACTCAGAGAGTTGAGGTTATTTAATTTTTTACATATATATGCTGCCACCACAATCACATTACGTCTGTCTCAGAATCTCTGGATTGTCATGAAGTATAATGCTCTTTTTTGTTGTTGTTTTACTCCAAGTCATTTATCACATAGCCCTGGTGGTGCTGTGGAGTAGGGTGCGGAGCTGCTACCCACAGCCTGCTGGTTCAAATCTACCAGCCACTCTATGGGAGAAAAATGAGGTTGTCTGCTGCCATAAAGACTTGCAGTCTCAGAAAACACACACACACACACACACACACACACACACACACACACACACACACACGGAGCCCTGGTCAGCAGTTCAAAACCACCAACCTGTCTGAGAGAGAAAGATGGGACTTTCTATTTC